CCGCCCGGGGCCTCTAGGTGGTGGGCACGGGTCAGCGAGGTCGGCACGGGGCCGGTTGGGGCCCTAGAGGGGGGCGAGCGCGGGGTCGATCGGGGCCTGAGCGGGGCTAGCGCGGGGCCAAACGGGGCCTTGACAGGGCTAGCAAGGGGCCGACGGGGCCTGAACGGGGCTAGCGCGGGGCCGACGGGGCCTGAAACGGGGGCCAACGGGGCCTGAAACGGGGCTAGCGCGGGCCGACGGGGCCTGAGAGGGGCTAGCGCGGGGCCGACGGGGCCTGAAACGGGGCTAGCGCGGGCCGACGGGGCCTGAGAGGGGCTAGCGCGGGGCCGACGGGGTGCAAACGGGGCCGACGGGGCCTGAACGGGGCTAGCGCGGGGCCTGAACGGGGCTAGCGCGGGGCCTGAACGGGGCCTTAAAGGGGCCGACGGGGCTGAACGGGGCCGCTAGGGAGAGCGGGCGTGGGGCCGACGGGGCCTGAACGGGGCTAGCGCGGGGCCGTCAAGAGGGGCCTCTAGGGGCGTGACACGCCGAGGCGCCCTAGGGCACAGGTAGGTAGGTAGGTAGGTAGTTACGTAGTGGTGGGCCCTTAGAAAATTTCGGTCCTAGGAAGGACCTGCTCTATACCATGTTGGAATCACTGAACAGGAATGGATGAACTAGCAGTGAAATGAGTACAAGTACCTAACCCTAGAATTGTGTACCCCCTATAGGCTAACCCACTGTAGCCTAAACTAACACAACATATATAATGTTTGACAGGGTTTGGCACAAACTACTAGGAGTGATCATAGCTTTACTTAGTTCCTTAGTGCTTGCGCATACACGGGAGAAATCGGCAAGAGTTTCACTAGGCAAAGTTGGAATTACAGAATGATTGAACAAGAATCACAACAACGACTACATCAGGCCCCTTAGAAACTCTGCAGTTAGCTTGATCGACCGCCAGCGCAGCTTGGTCAACGACGTGCTAACGCTGCAGCAAAATAGCTGTCCATCGTTGCTCCGTAGAAGACAGCAGTGCGGCAAGCTCGCAGGTTGCGCGCAGACGATTGGCCCGACTTGCATCGTTGTGCATCTGTCGGCTGCTGTCTGCGCCTGACGAGCCACCTCGACTTCGGGATACCAACCCGAAGTTGCCCTTGACCACCCGCGACCTCGACGACGTTCGCGTGCCTCCGCGGAACTCCTCGAGCAAGTTACCCGGTTGACCTGGACCCCACCACGTGCCCTTGGTCGACCACAGCTCCCGTCGAGCTACCCCCTGGTCGACGGACCCCTTCCGTCGACCAGAACTATCAGCGGTTGTCGCCAAGCTCCCCTCGTCGACCGCCTGCTCACCTGCAGGTCGACGGACTGTTCCGTTGACCTCCCGGTCGAACTGCAGGTCGACGGACTGCTCCATCGATTTCCCGGTCGAACTGCCCCTCCTGGTCGATTAGCCCACCGTCGCCCAGACCAATCAGTTGCAGTTGTCGAGCTCCGTGGTCGAAAGCAACACCACAGCGGTCCCCTTTAGCTCGACGAAGCCTGTCGAGCAGCTCTCCCACAGTGAATGGTCGGCTGATACTCCCGTACATCCGACCAAGTCCTCGGAGTTGCCCAAGCTCGAGGGCGGGGCCAGCACTCCACTCCCGTTAACAGCTATAACAACGACTGCCACTGCTGCGACCGCATTTGCCGCTACTGCCGCTTCTGCTTCCTTCTGTTTACTGCTGCTCACGCGCCGCTTTTGCTCGTGCTACCTACTATGGCGACTCCCACAATACTGGAGTTTTGACGCCGAGGGTAGCCCTTTCGATTATGAGTCGTGGCTTGAGGGGCTTCACCTGTACCTCCCAGCGTTACTCGCGACGACATCTCTCTCTTTGAGCATACCTCAGGCTCCCTCCTAGCCCCTCCCACTGCGACTGAGCCTTGCCCTTACTGCACCGCCAGAAGCATAGCAAAAATATAAGGCTGACCGCATAGATAGTACTCAGTGGTTAGCACGTGACGCCATTGTCGCGCTTGCAGTTCGCAGCCAGCTCTCCGCCCGACCAGCGCACCCACTTTCGCCAGCTGAAAACTGCCAAGGACCTGTATGACGTTGTAGTAAAGCGCTATTCCTCTCCCTCCTCTGCCACTTTATGCCACCTACTGCCGTACCTCCTTCCTGAGCTGTCAGACTTTGCCACTCTCGCTGACCTCATGACTCACCTGCGCACCAAAGACCTTCGATACCGTGCTGCCCTCAAGCCAAAGTTTCACGCTATGAACACTCCCCCGATGTACATCACTCTCTACTTCCTAGTCACCCGTCTCCTTGAATCCCTTCGCCCCGTCCCAGACCACTTTCTTTCTCTCGACCCCACCGAGCTCAACCTAGCCTCTTTTGAGTCACGACTCTTAGAGGCTGAGACCAGTGCCCTCGCTTTAGCTGCCTCCCATGGTTCTCCCCGTACCTCTTTCTTTTGAGGGTGTGCTCTTTCCCTCCTTGTGCCTTCTGTCGCCTCTGCTGCTGCTATTGAATTTCTCGGTGCTGAGGTAGGTGGTGGGGTTGGTGGGGTGGTGGGAGTGGCGGAGGGTGGTGGCTGGCACTGGGGGTGGCAGAGGCGGCTCGGGTGGTAGTCGTGGTGGAGGTAGTGGGGGTGGAGGCCAGGGAGCTATGTAAGGCGCGCACAACTGGTGGAGGCGGAGATTCTGCGTGGTGGAGAGCAGCAGCAGTCGCCGTTCGTGAAGAGACCCTCTCACCCCAGCAGCTGCGTGAGTGGGCGGTCCAGCGAGGTGGCCCCGGCGGAGGCCGGTCCGCTGCACCTACGTCAGACGCACGGGTCCCCGCATAGGAGACGTCTGCGGCAAGACGGGCCCAATGAGGCTCGTTGCTTGCGCCTCCTTGAGGACGCTTTCTGCGAGGAGTTTGGTGAGAAGGCAGAAGTTTCTTAATGGGTTAGGATTGCGCAGGAAGAACATCGATGTGTTTGCCCTTGATTGGGACCAGATCCTTACTAGCATGCATGCTATGTATGCTGCTTCTGCTAGTGTTGAGGGCGGACTATTACTTGGGTGCTCCTAGCTCTAGTGGTGTAGTGCCTGCTAGTGTAGGTGCCTGCGACACTGCTAGCACAGGTGCAGCCCCTGCGGAGGCTTTACTCACCTTCACGCTGGAATTGGGCGCGTCTGGCTGCTTCTTTCCGCAACTGCACCCCAGTCACAACACTCACCACACCTGTCATTGTCACTCTGGCCAACCCCTCCTCTGGCCCAGTCGTTGCACGAGGTACCACTGTTCTCCCGTGTCCGACAGTCCCCTCTAGTTCGCTCTCAGGTTTCCACCTCCCCTCGTCCGCTACGAACTTGGTGAGTAACGCTATCCTCCAGTATCACTTGGTCACTACCACCACTAATGGAGACGATCTTGTGGCGATCTGTACGGACTCAGTGAACTGGCGACCACCTCACCACATTACTCGAAGGTCTGGGTCTGGCTTGTACACACTGCACGTTGGGTCTCCACACTTTCGCTGCGTCCCGGACAGGTAGCTGCGTCTTGCTCACGCACCCGTCCCTCCTCTAGCTACCACCATCGTGGTCTCCCCTCCCTACAGCTTATGCGTCGCATACAAAGTTCTTACCAACGATGAAACAGGGAAGTCCCTTACTTCTTGCTCCATCTCGTCCTCGTTCTCCGCGGTGTCGTCATCTACGACCCTCTTCATCCTCGGGGTCGAGAAAATCCTTCGTGAGTCGGTTCGAACAGAGGGGTCGTGCAGTGGTCGATGAAAGGCCGAGGATTGTATAGGGGGCGCAGGAGGCGCAGGTGGTGCTGGCGGTGACGGGCTAGTAATCAGCCACTATAGCCGGCTGCTTGGACGGACCTGCCAAGGCTCGAGCGATGGGTACGCCATGGGCTTTCAAAAGATGACGTGGTACTACTCTAGGCACTACTCTAAGCATGCTAGAAGCGTCTCTGTGGATGGTGTCTTATAGCCTCTAGATCTGTGTGGGAATTAAGGCACACAATCAGAAGCCACGAAAGAGACATTCCATCTGCTCGGCAGGCTGCTGGACGTGACTCCCCTAGCACAACACGTCCAGCTTTGATCAAACCCACGAGAGGAGGGAATTAACCTGGCCCCCATGTGTAGAGTGACGTGGCCAGGTTTGGGCAGTTCCGTCAAGAGGACATGCGGTTCGCCAAACCGGCGTCGTGGCTCGTCACTCGATACGTGTCACAGCAGACATCGCATTTGTGATGCTCCAAACGAGGGATTTGAGAGTGTAAATAGACCCGCCCCCCTTCTCCCCCCCTCCCTCCCCTCCCCCCTCCCGTGTACACAAACAGTGCATGGTAAATCTAATAAATGTAATATTCAAATAAGTGTACCCATGTCTTAACAAACTCTATGCCACCTATATGTTATGTTCACCCTAGCTATGTTTTATGCATTTGTAGAAGTCCCCCGGGTCCTATAGCCGGAATCATACGGTACTCTGAGAGTGTATACAAAAATTCAGGGTCCCCTGAAGTATTACCCTTATTGGATCAGTGTTGAAAACTCATTTAATTCTGGAGTTTCAGTCACCACAAGGTGAAAGGTCTGAAATCACCCTGAAATCAGGGTCACCACCCCCTCCCCTCCCCTCCCCCCCCCCCCCCCCCCCCCCCCCCTCTCCCCTCCCCACCCCCTCCCCCTCCCCCTCCCCTGGTAGTGACTCAAGTTCTCAACTCCCAGTAGCCCGTCGCAACTGATGACATGGGAGAGAGAACCCCCGCAAGTCCGCCAACACTGAAGTGCGGTTCGCTTCTCACTCCCAACCCTTACCAGGGTAACCACCCAAGGCAAGTCATAAACCTTTGCCTCCCCCCCCCCCCCAACCCCCCAAACTTCACCCTTGCTTTAAAGCCCCACCCGTTGCATGTCTTAAAGCCCCACCTGCTGCATGTCTTACAGCCCCCACCTGCTGCATGTCTTAAAGCCCCCACCTGCTGCATGTCTTAAAGCCCCACCTGCTGCATGTTCTTAAAGCCCCACCTGCTGCATGTCGGGCAGGAAGACCCCTCGGACGGCCGCAGCGGTACATGAGGAAGACGAGGCGTGTGAAAGCGTGCTCCTTGGCCACGCTCATCAACACGTGGAGAGAGGGATGGAAGCACGCAGAGACAGGGTGAAAGAGAGAGTGGAAAGAGAGAGAGATGGAGGAGTGTGAGGGAGGGGAAGGGGGAGGACGGGGTGGAAACGTGAGAGAGCACTGATACGAGGAAAGGGGTCGACAAAAAAGAGTGGCAGAGCCGTGAGGGATCAAGCTACGGGTGGCGAGGACACGTGGGCACGACTGGAAGGAATGAAGATGCAGGACAGGGGAGGGATGGGGAGGCGACGGAAGAAGGAAAGGAAAGACAACAAAGGATTACACGGTGAGAAGTGAAAGAGCCATTGGAAGATAAATAAATGACGAAGAAGGGAGAGAGAGGGGGCAAGGGGAGGGAGAGAGGGCAGGGGAAGAGGGGGAAAGAAAGGGAGGAGGAAGGGCAAGGGGAGGGGGAGAGGGCTAGAGGATGCAAACTGGCAGTAGCCGACCTCCTTGTCCAACACCTGGTGGGCAGGGGAGGGGCGTGCAGGGGAGGCGCGTGCCGGGGAGGGGCGAGAGACGAGGAGGAAGAAATGAGGCAGGGACAGAAGGGCACAGCAGAGCAGATGGGAACGGCAGAGAGCACTTAGCAGGGCACAGCAGAGAGCACATAGGGGGCAGAGAGCTCATAGCGGGGAAGGGCAGGGCAGGGCAGGGCAGGGCAGGGCAGGGCAGGGCAGGGCAGGGCAGGGCAGGGCAGGGCACAGCAGGACCCAGGCGGCGCCCCTCTGGTTGCGCGGCACACGGCCTGCCAGCAACACCTCCGCCACACTGGTGGCGCATGGGGGAATGCAGGAGGCACGTCAGCAGCAGCCCTGCTGTGCTTGAGCGCGCAGCCACTCGCTGTGCTTGAGCGCGCAGCCACTCGTTGTGGCAGTAGGGGTGGGTAGTGAGGCTTGAGTGACACGGGCAGTGTAGCAGCGGGGCAGTGGAGCAGCGGGGCAATGGAGCAGCGGGGGCAGTGGAGCAGCGGGGCAGTGGAGCAGCGGGGCAGTGGCGTGCGGGGCAGCACCTGGGATGATTGCGCGCAGCAGCAGCGGTGGGAAGGTCAGCATGAGAGGAGTTGGGTTGGTGAGCGAGGGGTGGGAGAGCGAGGGGTGGGAGAGCGAGGGGTGGGAGAGCGAGGGTTGGGAGAGCGAGGGGTGGGAGAGAGAGGGGTGGGAGAGCGAGGGGTGGGAGAGCGATGGGTGGGAGAGCGAGGGGTGGGAGAGCGAGGGGTGGGAGAGAGAGGGGTGGGAGAGGGAGGGGTGGGAGAGGGAGGGGTGGGAGAGAGGGTTGGTAGAGAGAGGGGTGGGAGAGGGAGGGGTGGGAGAGAGAGGGGTGGGAGAGGGAGGGGTGGGAGAGAGAGGGGTAGAAGAGGATGATAATAGCGAGGGGGGAAATGGGTTGGAGAGATCAAGAGGGTGAGAAAGCGCCATTTCAGTAGATTGCTATACCTTCGGCTTTCATACCTGGTAGGCGCAGGTAGCCCTACCTATGAAAAGCAGCAACGCCCTCGACGCGCAGGTCAGCACAGGTAGGCGAAGGTAGCAACGCCTCGACGCGCCTCATGACTCCCCCAGTTCACTCGCACACATGCACCCAGCCCTGCCAGCCCACTTGCAAGGATCCCATCCCATCCCATCCCATCCCATTCCCATCCCATCCCATCCCATCCCATCCCATCCCATCCCATCCCATCCCATCCCATCCCATCCCATCCCATCCCACCCCATCCCATCCCATCCCATCCCATCCCATCCCATCCCATCCCATCCCATCCCATCCCATCCCATCCCATCCCATCCCATCCCATCCCATCCCATCCCATCCCATCCCACCCCATCCCATCCCATCCCATCCCCCCATCCCATCCCATCCCATCCCATCCCATCCCATCCCATCCCATCCATCCCATCCAATCCCATCCCATCCCATCCATCCCATCCCCAGACATCCCATCCCATCCATCCCATCCCCATCCCATCCCATCCCATCCCATCCCATCCCATCCCCATCCCATCCCATCCCATCCCCCATCCCATCCCATCCATCCCATCCCATCCCATCCCATCCCATCCCATCCCATCCCATCCCATCCCCCCATCCCATCCCATCCCATCCCATCCCATCCCATCCATCCCATCCATCCCACCTGCGCGGAGCCATCCCACCCTGCGCGGAGCCATCCCACCTGCGCGGAGCCATCCCACCTGCACAGAGCCAGACAGCTGCATGACGGTGAGCAGCTCGTCATCGCCGCCCCGCTACTGCCCCTCGCCCCGCGCCCTCGCTCCGCCGCACCCATTCGCCCCGCGCATGGCGCTGCTGCCGGCCCCCACGGACGGTGCGGAGAGGGGGCGAGGGAGAGGGGGAAGAGGGGGAGGGGAATGTGGGCGAGAGGAGGGGAAGAGGTTGAGGGGAATGCGGGCGAACGTTGGAGGGAGGGAGGATGAAGAGGGCGGAGAGGGCGAGAGGTGACGGAGAATGTCGGAGGTAACGAGTTGAACGAGACTGTGTTCGAGAATTGGTTACCACGAATGCGACAAATAGGCGTGACAACACACGGCGATTGGAAATCTAATGGTGCACGATGTTAGGAAAACCGCAATCCACGAGAAGAACGGGAGGGGCAGGTCGCGCGCATTGCGGATGTTGCTGGTGATGTGGGCTGCATGGACCTTGTGGGATGCGAAATGCCCTGAATGCAGCGTTTGGTATCGCATTAGGGCGTGTTACGCAGCTTGAAATTACTTTCATTTCAAAGAAAGTTACCTGGTTACAAATGTGTATAAACGTTTGGTTTGCGGTACAGTTTACGCTGACATGTTGGGTGTCTGGTTCGTATATTCGCACATGGGCCCAGTTCGGCAGCCACGGAAGAAGGACAGAAGAAAATATTCAGGATGCTTCTACGATGCTTCCAATCGCATTATCGAGGGCTGTACAGTGCGGGTAGTGGGATTGAATTTCAGAAACCGAGGCGCAGGTGATTTACAGCAGCGACGCGAACACCACCTAAAATTGATTCCGCGCCGTCTTCTGTCCTCATTCTCCGCCCCCGGCGGAAAGCTTCCTAGAAATCCAAACCACCTGACGGGGGAAGGGCGGGCCAAAGGCGGAAGCAGCACTCGGATCCTCTGCTTCGACCGGGATTCATTTTTTTTTGGCGAAACTCCATTTTGCCCGTGGCGAGACGATTATACTCGGATTTGACTCGGATTCGGCGCAAAAGGGTGTTGGATCTTACAAAATCCAAACCACCTGATGGCGCAACGAAATGGGCGCAAGAGTGGTTACACTACCGGTTTGGATTATCGACGGTCGCACGAAAGCGACGTCGCAACCACTGTTGTACAGTATTTGTATATAACTTTGTTGTTGACACTTTGGTGTAATTCTGACAAGCAGAATGTCAAATGGCTAAGTCAAAATTCTATATGGTTTGGCTCATAACTCCATCATTTGTTGTCATTTGCACACAAATATGGATTTCCAGCATCTCCTTGATGTCCTCTACAAGCGGGCATGAGTTTGTTATTTTGTCAAATTTGTTCCATTTTGTCACTTTTCTCTCAACTAAGATTGCTCATAGCACATGTAAAGTCATTCTATGTGCATCACACACATGTGTTATGTGGTGACCATTTTTTTTTTGCATTGTTAGTGTTATGACACCTGTTCCAACCCCCCTGAACATTTTCAGCTATATGCAAACTGATTTGGTGGACTTTTTCTTGCAATGAAGTTAGTGTACAGAAATGCCTGGACTTAGGTTTCAATTGAAATCACCCACTTCTCCTTGAGAAAATGAGCTGATTTTTATAGGAGACTCTCACCACACATATTCCAGACCCCCACATGAAATTCACCTCATTTGCCCAAGGTTTGATATGTGTTTTAAGCCTTGCTGTGCAGCAGTCTGCAGAATTCTGTGCAGAATTGCCTGGACTTAGGTTTCAATTGAAATCACCCACTTCTCCTTGAGCAAATGAGCTGATTTTTATAGGGGACTCTCACCACACATATTCCAGACCCCCACATGAGATTCACATCATTTGCCCAAGGTTTGATATGTGTTTTAAGCCTTGCTGTGCAGCAGTCTGCAGAATTCTGTGCAGGGTTGCCTGGAATCAGGTTTCAATTGTAATCACCCACTTCTCCTTGAGCAAATGAGCTGATTTTTATAGGGGACTCTCACCACACATATTCCAGACCCCCACATGAAATTCACCTCATTTGCCCAAGGTTTGATATGTGTTTTAAGCCTTGCTGTGCAGCAGTCTGCAGAATTCTGTGCAGAATTGCCTGGAATCAGGTTTCAATTGTAATCACCCACTTCTCCTTGAGCAAATGAGCTGATTTTTATAGGGGACTCTCACCACACATATTCCAGACCCCCACATGAAATTCACCTCATTTGCCCAAGGTTTGATATGTGTTTTAAGCCTTGCTGTGCAGCAGTCTGCAGAATTCTGTGCAGAATTGCCTGAATCAGGTTTCAATAGTAATCACCCACTTCTCCTTGAGAAAATGAGCTGATTTTTATAGGGGACTCTCACCACACTTATTCCAGACCCCCCACATGAAATTCACCTCATTTGCCCAAGGTTTGATATGTGTTTTAAGCCTTGCTGTGCAGCAGTCTGCAGAATTCTGTGCAGAATTGCCTGGAATCAGGTTTCAATTGAAATCACCCACTTCTCCTTGAGAAAATGAGCTGATTTTTATAGGGACTCTCACCACACATATTCGAGACCCCCACATGAAATTCACCTCATTTGCCCAAGGTTTTGATATGTGTTTTAAGCCTTGCTGTGCAGCAGTCTGCAGAATTCTGTGCAGAATTGCCTGGAATCAGGTTTCAATAGTAATCACCCACTTCTCCTTGAGAAAATGAGCTGATTTTTATAGGGGACTCTCACCACACTTATTCCAGACCCCCACATGAAATTCACCTCATTTGCCCAAGGTTTGATATGTGTTTTAAGCCTTGCTGTGCAGCAGTCTGCAGAATTCTGTGCAGAATTGCCTGGAATCAGGTTTCAATTGTAATCACCCACTTCTCTTTGAGCAAATGAGCTGATTTTTATAGGGGACTCTCACCACACATATTCCAGACCCCCACCTGAAATTCATCTTTTTTCGTAGACGTGTAGTATGTTTTTTACTCTCTCCTCTGCAAGGCGGGAGCAGAGCACTTTGGTGAAATGTACAACATTTGTTTTGTTACTCCAATGCCACTGTTATACGGGTGCTAATGATAGGGCACTCATCTCACACTTATAGGATTACCGTTATAGTATTGGGTGTGCTAATCATGCAAAGTTCATGCTTGTGTTTGAATTATGGGTTACAAAAACTAGTACTATACGTGCTACACAAGTACCCCTATAGCGGTACTCTCGGATGTAGGGTGTCATTCGATTTCTGACACGTGTGACAGGTCGCAGAGACAGCTCTATTTTCCAGGTTGCGGAGGGAACCATGCGGATGGGATAGCTATACGTGGCAGCCTGTCATTAACCTGTCACAGGACACCATTCGTTTTTTAGGGGCTGCCCGTCACCATTCGTACGAGGTCGAGGCAAAGCTGAGACCATGCAATGGCACCGCAGAACATGCAATATGCTAACATGGCAAAGAGTAGTTCGCAAATGGTCGAAGGGAAATGGTGAGAAGCCTAATATTTTGAGCCATGGGGCAGAAAATTGTTACTACGCCTGGCGTTTGAGGACAGAGCACAACCAATTCTACCAGCGAAGCAGAAGTTGGGATCAGGGTGGGTGCACCAAAGCTCGACGTCATTCTCGCCATTCCAATCTGAGTCGAGGTTCCACAACTAGTCTCACAAGCTTCCCTCTCATTCTAGTGTCGGCCTCTTATCCTGCAGGTAGAGAGTGTTGTTAGTAACCGTTTAGCTACCTGCCATCTTCTGGCATACTTACGCGATGTCGTCCCCAGCTAATCACAGACGGCTGCGGATTGTCGGTACGACTAGGGCGGGAGTCTTATGAAAGGTTAATCGCTCGTCAGGAAGAGTGGAACGAGGCGTTGTTACTTTTCGGCCTAGTGTATGTATCCAAGCGCGGTTTGTAACGCACGCTGACTTCATCGACACGTTGAACCCTTGTTTTTTAGACAGGCACCTGCTATCTTCTTACCTCTGCGACATGTCGGCTTGGATGCTAGGGAGGTTGCCAAGGACAAGATTGGGGATCCTCGCGTTCGCAAAGACATAAAGATTCTGGCTCCTACCGAGCATCGGCGTTTGAGGTCTGCTGTTCCCGCGTGTCCCCAGTTTGTGGCAGCGAACATCGGTCGCTGTTGGACTACCAGATGGTTTTAATACCCATGATATCAGAGTGAGTTTCCTGACATGTATCCGCAACGTGTGTCGATGACACAGCTATCTTGCTAATCCAAACTTCCATGTACCGCAGAGTCGCTGTTGTTCGCTCGACGGCGATCAGTCTCATGGTGCTGATGAACCCGCAAGATTTGTTAGCACATCCCCGCGGAGAGTACCGTACGCGTGTGCTACACTTCGACCCTAAATCTGCAATCCCAACCCATCGCCACAGCGAGCATGCCAAGGAGGTGTTCGAGTAGGTATCACTCCTTAAGCAGATGTGCGGTTTGTGTGGACGCATGATATTGATTATTTGCGACCCCCTTGCCCTGCAGCTGGCTTATCCGACAACTAGATGTGGAATACAGCCGAGGTCGCAGGGTCTCTGGCAGCCACGCCGAAGCGGTGCAGAAAGATTTGAGGGCTCGCCTAAATGATCTGATTCTGGAGGAAGGCAGGGTAAGGAAGGAGCCTCTATTTTTATGATTTAAGCATTGTATGATATCAAGCTTGTACAAAGTAACGGGAGTGTCTGACAACCACCTTTTCACGCACATGTTGCAGATCAACAAGGTTCAGGGACAGAGGCAAGTGGGTTCCGGGCTGCATGTTACCCATGTGTTCAGCAAGTTGCTGGACAAATGGGGGGATGTCATGGCGATTCAGTCTGTAGAGCCGATGATGGTCTTAGGGAAGGGGAAAAACAGCGCGAAAGAAATTCGGAGTATGCTGGAGTCGACCTGCAGGGCCTTCTTCGACCTGCAAGGAGTCCAGCTCCGTCCCGCCCCGGATGCAGTCATGACGACCCACTGTGCTCGAGTGGTAGAGAGCGCACCCGCACAGAACAGATCCGAAGCGGTAGAGGGGACAGATAGACGTACCTGCCGCAAACCGGGACGCAAATCCAAGAGTTGGGTTATTTCATATTCCCGCCGACCTGCACCGAGGGATGCAGTACTCAGTGGCCCGACATCAAGGGCAGCCACTGCTGACGAGTGTGATAGGTCTGGAGATAGGCAGCACAGGTTTGCTGATCGGGTTAGGATGCCGCAGGAACGCGAAGCACGGACGGAGACCGACTTGGCAAGCGTAGCAGATGAAGGCGAGGAGGGTGTAGAAGATCCACAGGTGCCAAGTCAGGTCGAACAGGCAGAGGAGCACTTGGAGGAAGGCGGCTGATGAAAAGCGGATGGTCGAAGCAGAAGCCAAGAGTAGACGGGCTGAAGAGATGCAGCGGCGCAGTGATGGCGGCACCGATCCTACCGTCTCTTTCCCGGGAACTGGAGACATACGTGATGCATGGGAGCGTGTGGCACGAGCCGCTGCAAGGGCACACGTGGGAGAGGCAGGAGAGGAGCTCGCCAGCAATGTGCGGCAGCATATCGAGGAGGATTAGGGATACGTGAAAGTTCGCTTGCCCAGCCTAAAGCGGAAGGCGGCAGAAGAGGCCCGGAGAGGGGACGTCGACGTGCCAGAGAATTCGGGAGAGGCGAAAAAGAAGGAGGAGAGCAACGCGGGTGCTAAGGCTCATAAGATGGTGGAGGTAGAGGCGCACCAGAATGCAGAGGATGCGGCCCATCGGTTCGTCGATGCAGAGGCGGGTACTTACGGCAGAGGACGGGGCGCCAAGGAAGCAGAGTCTGCGGCGCAGCAGAAGGTGGGTGCAGAGGCGGTCAAGGGTGCGGAGGCAGTCGCGCGTAAAGAAGCGGGTGCAGCAGCAGAGCTGACGTCGGAGGCAGTCGAGCTGATGGTTGTGGAGGCAGTGGCGCAGAAGGAATCAGAGGCAATGGCGAGCCAGAAGGATGAGGCAGCGGCGCAGCAGAATGATGAGGCAGACGCACATAAGGAATCAGCGGCAGCAGCGCAGCAGAAGGATGAGGGTGCGGCGCCCAGGATGGTTGAGGCAGAGGCGCAGAAGGAATCAGAGGCAGCGGCGCAGCAGAAGGAGGAGGGTGCGGCGCCGAAGATGGTTGAGGCAGAGGCGCAGAAGGCATCAGAGGCAGCGGCGCTGCAGAAGGAGGAGGGTGCGGCGCCGAAGATGGTTGATGGCAGAGGCGCAGAAGGCATCAGAGGCAGCGGCGCTGCAGAAGGAGGAGGGTGCGGCGCCGAAGATGGTTGAGGCAGAGGCGCAGAAGGCATCAGAGGCAGCGGCGCTGCAGAAGGAGGAGGGTGCGGCGTCGAACATGGTTGAGGCAGAGGCGCAGAAGGAATCAGAGGCAGCGGCGAGGGAGAAGGATAAGGCAGCGGCGCTGCATATGGAGGAGGCAGACGCACATAAGGAAGGAGAGGCTCGGAATAAGGCAGAAGCAGCGGCGCGGCAGAAGGTGGAGGCAGAGGAGCAGAAACAGGCTGCGGAAGAGGCACTACAACTGGCTCGGGCTGAAGCGCGGAAGAAGGCTATTGTAGAGGCGCAGAAGAAGGCGGAGGGTGTTGCGCAGAAGATGTCAGAGGCCGAGGAGCAGAAGCAGGCTCAGGCAGACGCACGAAGGAAGCCAGATGGAGAGGACGGTTCAGATGGGAATAAAATGGTACAGACAGAGGGACGGGAGACGGCGGGTGCTGAGGGGCACATCATCGCAGAGGAAGAGGGGCAGCATAACGAGGAGGCAGCGTCGCAGGTATTCGCATACCGAGAGACGCAGAGCATGGCAGAGACAGGGCGTCAAAATACTATGGAGGAGGTTCGTGTCGTCCCGGAGGCTGGAGTGGGGCACTACGAGGGAGATGCGCTGGAAACAGAAGAGGAGCAGAATGAGGAGGATACGGTACATCCGGCAGTACGGATATTTTTGGGAGGAAGTCCGACGCGGGGACCAGGAACCGGGGTAGAGGGGCCATGGAGGGTGGCAGACGATGGGGCGCCTAGGGATACAGTGGGTCTCAACAGGCAGAGGCGGCCCACCCTTGGCCAGAGAGCAGTGGAGAGGAATCTCGGCCAAGGCGGGTGGCAGAAGCGTTTTGGCAGGTAGAGTGGGTCGAGGCAGAGACGGCAATTCGGCGGATGCTGCATCAGACGAGTACAGTCCTGGTCGAACAAGGTGACAGGTTCGTCGAGGCCGAAAGCTGGGACATAAGCCCGGCAGAGGTAACGCGTCGTCTGACGCTCTTAGCCCGAATGGTGACGCAGACGTTCTGCAACTTGGCGGCCCGCAACAGCAGCATCAGTCGCGACGTGGCCGATCTGACCGTCCATTACTGTCGCGACGCCCTGGCCAACCTGGAAGAAGTCCGCCATGGAAACGAGGAACGGCGGCGCCAAGCTGAAACGGCGGCCAGGTTTCGCGAGGAGGTGGACACGAGACTCTCCAACTTGCAGGAGAGTATCGTAAGGGTGAGTGATCAGGTTCGCCAGTCGGGAGGGGGGATGGCGGAGGGCACGTTAAAGGGGGTGGAAGAGAGGTTGAGAGAGGTTCTGAGAGAAGAGTCTGAGCGGCGGAACAGGGATAGACTGCAGGACGAGGAGCGGAGGCAGAAGGCCATGAGGAAGGAAGCAGACGCCGCAGAGAGACGGAAGAAGGAACAACAGCAGGAGGAAGCGCGTCGGCAGAAGGAGATGAGAGAGGGAATGAAGGAGATGAAGGAGGCGATGATGAAGGAGATGAAGGCAGAAATGAAGGAGATGAAGGATGGGATGGTAAACCAGATTGTGGGGAGGTTGAGCGCGGTTTTGCGAGAAGAATCCGAGCGGCAGAAGAAGGAGAGGCAAGTGGACGCGGAGCGGCGACAACAGCAGGACGCGAAGAGGAAACAAGTGGCGGACGACGAGGAGAGACGCAAGAGGATACAACTGGACGAGCAATGGCGGAAGGAGGAGGAGGTGAAGAGGAAGGACGTAGAGGCCACAGAGCGGCGGAGGAAGAACAAACATCAGGAGGAAGAGCGACGGCAGAAGGAGGTGGAGGCGGGAATGAAGGAAGTGATGGAGGCTGTGAAGGAGATGAAGACGGGGATTACGGGGTGGAAGGAGGGGATGATAAGTGAGGTGGAAAAGCGGCTGTCAATGGTTCTGAGATTGGACGCAGAGCGGCGGCAAAAGGAGGAGCAGGGTAGGAAGGCAACGGAGGGAGATCGGCGACAGAAGGAGGATGCGCAGAGGAAGGAGGCAGAGGAAGCAGAGCGGGTGGAGAGGGAGAAACAGCAAGAGATGGCGCTCCTGCAGAAGGAGGAGGCGCAGCGGAAAGATGCGGAGGAGGCCGAGAGGCAGGAGAGGGAGAAACAGCAGGAGATGGCGCGCCTGCAGGAGGAGGACAGGCAGAGGAAGGAGGCAGAGGAGGTAGAGCGGCGTCAGAGGGCGAAACAGCAGGAATTGGACCGCCTGCAGAAGGAGGAGACGCAGAAGAAGGAGGCAGAGGAGGCCGAGCGGCAGCAGCGGGCGAAACAGCAGGAGATGGAGCGCCTGCAGAAGGAGGAAGCGCAGAAGAAGGAGGTAGAGGAGGCCGAGCGGCAGCAGAGGGCGAAACAGCAGGAGATGGAGCGCCTGCAGAAGGAGGAAGCGCAGAAGAAGGAGGCAGAGGAGGCCGAGCGGCAGCAGAGAGCGAAACAGCAGGAGATGGAGCGCCTGCAGAAGGAGGAAGCGCAGAAGAAGGAGGCAGAGGAGGCCGAGCGGCAGCAGAGGGCGAAACAGCAGGAGATGGAGCGCCTGCAGAAGGAGGAAGCGCAGAAGGAGGCAGAGGAGGCGGAGCGGCAGCAGAGGGCGAAACAGCAGGAGATGGAGCGCCTGCAGAAGGAGGAAGCGCAGAAGAAGGAGGCAGAGGAGGCGGAGCGGCAGCAGAGGGCGAAACAGCAGGAGATGGAGCGCCTGCAGAAGGCGGAGCAATGCCGAGCAGAGAAGAGGGCCAGACTTGCATCCTACGCGGAACAGCAGCGGCAACTGGAGGCAAAGGCAAAGGCGATGGCTGAAGAGACGGAACGATTGGCAAGGGAGATGGAAGAGGAGGATTTGACCATGCAGGGGGAGGGGACCTGGACAGGAGTCAAGGAGGATTTGACCATGCAGGGGGAGGGGACCTGGACAGGAGTCGAGGAGGAAATAGTTGAGGGGTTGGGGACTTTGCTGTTGATTGAGAGCGGGGAGGCGAATGTAGCAGAGGGCGTGCCTAGTGTTCCTGTACGGAATGTAGAGGTGTCCAGGAGGCGGCCTAGACAAGAGGACAGGGAGCCGGAGGGTCATGCGGCTAAGAGACGGCGTGCAGCTGGAATACAGGAGTTGATACCCATAATCCAAGGGGAAAAGAAAGGGATGAAGATCGACAAGTGTGACAACAGGAAAAACGCCGTAGTGGACGACAAGGGTAAGACTTTGGGTGTCTGCCTGCCGTTCAGGGGAAGCGGGTTCTCTCAACGGGGCGAGGGAGCTTTGCAGAAGTGGACGTCTGAGCAGACCGTCGGCGGCCGGAAGCGGAACCTCGGCTCTCACAAAACGGTGTGGGAGAGGGCATACACGGTCGCAGTCTGCTGGAAGTTCTACTTCCCGGATATTGACATGCAGGCATACGGCATGAATCCAAACCGTATAAACAAGTGGCGGGAAGACCTCGACTTCACAACGTGGCTTCCAACAGGGGTGTGGAGCGTCATCAACGAACTCCACCTGGACAAACCGGACGGGTGAGTGTTTATGTGATGTACAGTTGCAACTTCTAAACACCCGCGAAGTTCGATGGTTCTGATCTTGCGACACTGGTGTCTTGTGCAGATTCTCACTCGTTCAAACCAACACGGCTCTTCGGCAGCAGCAGGGGGATGGCTTTCAGGTAGCTGCCTGCGCTGGTGTCGGAATAACTGCGTGGCAGAAGATGGTGGGAGGCGTGGAGGGTGAAAACGGCTATTCGACGGAAGAACACGCAATCGGACTTGCCGCCACGTTGTCTGTAATGTGGGCCGCATCCACGAATGTGGACCAGACCCAGTGGGAGACGGGCGCAACAACAGCTGCACGTGGAACTTCTACGGCCATAGCATCTTCTGCTGCCAGATCGTCCACTGCTGCCACCGCCTCGTCGGATGCCTCGTCATCTTCTGCGGCCGATGTGCCCTCTGCCGTCCACAATGCCCTTGCGACGCTTGCAGCCTCGGTTGCTTGCGTTGCGGTTGAGGCGATGAGGTCGGTAAAGGATCAGGAGCATGACAAGGAAGCGTGGATTCTGCCCCTGTCGGATGCGCTGCTGAAAGCGCTTCCGGCAGAGTCGCGAGCGGCCGAGGATGCGAAGCGGATGACGAGGGTGGTGGCAAAGGTGGTGACCTCTTGGTGCCTATGCAGCATGGCATCAAGAGGCCTTCGCCAGCACCAGGGCGTCTGGCTCGGAGTCCTGCAGAAGAAGTTGGGCGGCCGGGATACCACAACAGGGGCGGATAAGGAGAAGAAAACCAAGAAATCGTCCGCGAAGGGGAACGCGACGAAGGATGCGTCGACGGAGGAGAACACCGGCACTGGCGGCCAGGATTGATAGAGGCAGACGGGTTCTTTGGAGGTCTTGTTAGTACCGCAGTAGAAATAGATTTTCCTTTTCGTTTTTTTTATTTAACCGTGTATAAATATAGGTGTTGTTGTATACAATACAATGAGAGATGTATTTTTGCTATGCAAACCTTCACTACACTAGCAAAATTTGTAGGGCGCGTATGGAGCTAGCAATGCAGCCGATAGAACTCGCCATCAAAGGGAGGGCCAGGCGAATAAAAAAATTGACGACAGGACGGCCTTCTACGACACTTAATCTACGTTTAATACTCGGCTTCTACGAAGAGGTAGAAGTATGGGGCTAAACAATCGCATAACATCTTGTCTAAGGGAGCACCTTGTTAAGAACGTATACGGTATTCATATGCACAGACCTTTCTGCTATGGAGATTGAATTCCTCGACGCCGAATTCTGGAGGCAAATTGGAAACGCCACTATACCGCAGAAAAAACCGACGTGTTGATAATATCTACCGTCATGGATAGGATCTTCGTTGCTACTAGTAAAATATGACACTGCTTTGCCCAGAAACATATGCTGAGACTGAATAAATCCACGCAAAAGTCTACCGAGTGACCTAAGAACACACATCTACAATCGTGAGAGTGAATTCATCGACGCCGCTCTGTAGAATAAAATCGTATACGATACGACATGACTCCGCAGAATTTCGCCCGGTGTATACCATCGATGTGTGCTTCATTGCATACACCAGAAAAACATTCTACGAAAAACAGCGCGCCCAGGGAATAAGGTGGCATACAAGCCCCAAATCGGGCTTCTACAGAGACAGACAAGTGCCTGTAGTGCATATTCGGTACAACCGGAATAAAGTACCCAAATAACTAAACCGCCCCACCCTTAAGGTACATGCCCCCTCATTTCTGCTCCTTGCGTTTCGACGCTTCGCCCGTCGCCTTTTCCCGTTCCGCCTTCTTCGCCGCAGCGGTTCGTTGTTTCTCCTCTTCCGCCTTCTTCTGCGCCATGTGTTCCTTGTGGATCTCCTCCCACTCATCATCACCAAACAGCGAAGTTGCCCACTCCTGGTCGCGAAGGCCCTTCTTGACTAACAGCCAGCCCACTCTGCGTTGCGCCAGGTCGTTGACGGTCCTCTTTTCCGTCGACGAACCGGTCTTCTGTTTCTTGATGGTTGGAGTCTCATGCAGCACAGCCAGGCCGTTGGTGAATTCCGTGAAGTTGCACACGAGTAAAACCTCGTCCAGCAGCTTAATGGCCGTTGCGGTCGCCGCCTCGAAGCTGTCTTTTCTTAGCGTCTCCACGGAAACCATGACACGATGCACGCGACGCATCTTTCGCTCGCATGCACCCACAGCCATCCCGGGCGTACCTTTGACAGCGAACCGGGAATATGCGGTGATGAAGCTGGAATTCTTGTCCTTCTTCTTATACCGGTCGAACTCTGCAAAGACTTCGCGCAGTGACCGGCCGCCCATGATGAGGCTTGGCTGCACCCACACTTTCCAGGCAGCAGCAACAGTGGTGGCTTCGCGCCAAGACACAACGACCACGACGAAGAATTCTTGGACGGCAACTGGTGCTTTGGATGCGTCCGTTGCCTGGTTTCCTCCTGTTCCCGCGCTCTTCGACGATCCGTCGATCTCTGCAGAGGTGTTTGCCGCGTCATCCCTGGCCGCAACAGACCTCTTGTATGCTTCGAACTCTGCAATGACCCGAGCCTTGTCCTCTCGCTCAGCGGCGAGTTTCTCCCTCAGTTCAGCGTTCTCCATCGCCAACTGCATTTCACGTCCTCTCAAAATCCCAAGCTCCTCCCTGAGCATATTGGCGGTGAGGTGCATCTTATGCAGCTTCTCTTCTGCGGTCGTGCGAAAGATAGCGTCCTGCAGAAACCAGCACGGCAGAAACTCAGCATGAACGAATAACTCCTCTCTACCACTAATAGCAGGCACTTACTGCTTTGGCGGTGGTTTGGCCGGTTGCCCGAAGCTTCTCGCCCTGGAAGTGAGAAATAGCGACCAGGTACGCCCACTTTTGGAACAGCGGGTGGTTGCACAAGGGGCTCATCTGCACATATGGATGCCTCTCGCAATTGCACCGCGGGTTTCTCACGCCGTGCTGATGGCAGAACGCCCACATCATAGCCAGATCCTGTGCAACAACGAGGCGTCCGATGCTGGCGAGGGTGTCTAGGAACCTCGCCCCCGCATAGTGCCTCTTCAGCGGATCGGTCTGCGCAGCGTTCCATTCTTCGACCTGACGGGACGAGTATGCAGGAGAAATGGGACGGTTCATCATTGCGTATCAATTTTAAGCTACGAACGCAAAGACTGTACACTAGCACGTACCTTCTTCCAACCCTCTTCGACCCAGGGGAAAATGTGAAGCCTCAAGAGATCCAAGAGCTGCAACCACTCATCCTTCTCCTTAACCTTATGCCGCGGAAGCTTGGCGCGGGCTCTGCCGATGTAGTAGTCTCCACGATCCCCGCTGAATCCTGCCAGCAGCCAAACCGGCTTGAACGGTATGCCGAACACATAACACCTCCGCAACTCCCCCTGCGCCCATCCGCCCAGAGTGCCGATATCGTTGTCGGAGCAACCGTCGTCATGGAGTTGTTGCGCTCCGGATCTGCGGAATGCATGTGTTACCTTGCTCAGAATCCATCTCGCCTTCGTCATGGCCCACTTAATCCAGGTGTTATGCGTTTTGTAGTGCATCTCGTCTTGCTTCTGCTCTCCCTGGTCGCCCTTCTTCAAAGAAAAGAAGAGGTGCGCTTTCGTCCACAAGATCGGTTCAGAAAAGTCGAGAGGCTCGACGATACCGGGGCCGTAGCGCAGAGGAACGAGGTCGTAGATGAAATAAAGCCACAGGAACACATGGCCCATTCCGCAGAGCCGCCAGTCCCTATGCCTTGCAAGAAACTGATGATTCAGCTTGTTGTTGGGGTTGGTCTTCGACTTCCTGGAAACAACGACGAGTACGAAAACGTCCAGATAGTCGTCGAGGTGTGATGTGCTCCGCGTCATGCGGACAAAGAGGTTCCCAAGTCGAATCTTTCGAATGCTGCACCCTCTTCCGAGAAATTGGTGTCCGAGGTGCATCATAACCGGGACTTGCAGAGCCTTCCAGAGAGGAAGCGAGATTTGTGACGGAGGCGTCCGCCACCAGATCTCTAGGAGCTCTTTTCGCAGAACAGTAAGATGCAGCGTCCTATACTGGCTTCCCGTATAGCAATCACCAATTGATCCACGGGTTTGATCTCGACCATCCCTGCATAGAATAGCACAGTAATTAGGTAAACCATGTAGAACAACATTCACACAAACAGAAAGCACCCGTATACGTTACTCCCGCGACTTGCTCGTCGTTCAGATCCTTCAGCTTCACTTTGAAAAAATCCCGAGCATCCTTGATCCAGTCCTTGGTCAGTGTGATGGAGAAGCCGTAGAGCCTCGCCTCGCACCTGGCAAGGCATCCCATTGCGTTCATCTTTGCCTTGATCATTGAAGCCGTGCACCCCTTTGCCTCCTTCCCCACATATTTCTCGACGTCTGGCCGCATTTTTCCACGCAAAAACTTTGCCTGCTCGTCAGTTTCGCAGAAGAGATACTCGATGTATCGGCCGAGCCTCCATTCCGTGATTCGCGGCCCGTGCAGATGAATCTGCCACTCGTCAGAGCTGCACGACCACCCATCGTTTCCCAAGTTATTGCTCATATGAAACCCAACCTCGTCATGCAGAGAGGGAGCAAGGCTATCTGCCACAGGGACATCTACCATAGTTGCCATGAAGATGATCACCCACCACTTGAAGTGTAGAAAGTGGAAACAATAGTGCCTTCTCGTCCCGGCCTCTATCAGTCGAAGCGGGATTGTTGAACGCCGGATCCTGCTCTCCTTTTTCCGCAACGTCGGTCTGCCGCTGCGCATTTCCGGGGGCCACAGCCTGCTCGACATGGCTCGCAGAATCGGGAGGTCGTCGTCGTCCCGGCGATGATTCTCCCTCCTCTTCTGCGTCAGAGTGATCTCCATCCTCCTCGTACCGTTCTTCGGGTGCACCGGGTCGTGGGCGCACTCCATCGCCTCCCGGCCCTTCACTCTCTTCTTCACTCCCCTGGACTTGAATCCGGACGGATGGTTCGTAGATACCACCCTGAAACAAATCCTCCTCGGTCGCCTCAAACTCGCTATCGTTCTCGCGATCCTGTGCGTAGTCTGGGTCAGTATTTTCAACGTCCTCTAGGTCTATTTCTCCATCCTCTGCGCCCTGGGCTGCCATGGGGCGAGAGTGGACCGAGCTGTCGGCCATTCACAGATTCCTAATTTATTAGCTAGCAACCGAGACTAGACGAAAGAATCGGATGGTGACAGCCGCGGTAGGTGGTAACGATTCGCAAGTGTGCAGATAACATAGGCAGAATGCTTAGTGGGCTAAGCGCAGAAGGCGTAAGAGAGTCTGTGCTTCAGACGTCTACACATTGGTCTTCGAACACCGCCTACAACTTGCGTTTACATATATATCTGCGCCTACAACTTGCGTATACAGGGTCGCTTGACTGTCCCGTACCGTATAGCTCTGTCACACTTTGTTTTACCGCTTTAATTCTCTACAACGAAACAACGAAAATAAGTTCCTACCATTATACGGATATAATCATCTACGGAACCCTTATGCTTGTACATAACTTTCGTGGGTTCGACGATATTATGGATTGGGAGCGAATACCTTTACCGATAAAAGAAGCCTAACGTCGAAGATGTCCGCCTACAAGAGCGGACGACCTATGACAATTGTTCCGGGCAAATACAAACAGTTCTACCGACAAAATATTATACCACACACATCTGCGCCTACATATGCGACCTAACAAGTACGACTGCAGTTATCCTAACCGGGCTGACCCAAAAAAAAAAACCCACTCTATACGACCTACGTCACTATGTCGAGGATCGCCAATGTTATGCCAGTGGGCCAAGCAGGCTTAAAAGATTACGCTGGTGGACTAACAGGTGCTGGAAGAAAAGATCTCAAAGAGCTTGCGGAACATGAAATGCAAATGAAAAGGAGCAAATGAGCACGAAAACATCTATTCATACCCATCCACCACACACAGAAGCCCGTGTCCAGATCTGGTCATCCAACCCTGGGCTGGATGATTCTCCCGCCAAAAAACAACAGTTGGGATATGGTCCTACTAGACGCTGATTGGCTCTTGCAGCCTTGGGACTCTGACAACAACTGTTGCCATGGCCACGTGTGCAGAACACCTACAGTTGGTAAACAATGACTATAAAACACAATGAGCAAACGTAGGATGCTACACTTGAACTCATGTTATTTATAAAACACATAACATCAATGGTATAAAGGAACACACGTGCTGCAGCTTTAAGGTGGCAGCAAAAAAAAAACCGAGTTAAAGCATATAACGACGCAAGGAAGACCAGTTGGCCGCAACCGGCCATGCGACCGGCGGTCGTCACTTGTCGGCCAAAGAGTTACGATGGCGAAACATGTCATTCGCGACAAACATCACTGGCACAAAGGGTCAGGGCAGGTTGGTTGGAACACATTTTTCACGGTCAGGTGGGCGCGGAATTGTGGGCGGCTGGCCGTGTCGTATGCGGCGGAGCCTTGCGCCCAAGCCCTTCGGAATCCGGAACACACGGATCCAAGGCCTCGGATCATGGGGCAAACGCACTCGGAACTCCGCCACAACGTGGTAAGAGTCCCGCTCTAGTGAGACGGAAGAAAAAAATGATTCTCTCACAAAACAAGAATCAACTTTTTGATTCCAGAAGAATCACTGTTCACGGGACAACATTGCACCCTACAAATGAAAGTAATAATAGACCATAAACAATTTACTCCAATAGCGTGCGGCGTCCACCCCATTTTTTCGTTTAGGGCTAGCCCGCTACAGTGCCCTGAGACATTCGAATGTCCAGGAAAATGTGCATGGACATGCGATGGTGTTTTCTATCTTCCCCCGACAACCTGCGCCAGCTCCCCCACAACGCAGGTTGTCCGCTGAGCAGTCAAACCGAGGTCAAAATTCGTTGACTCTGGATTGACGCCAGCTTCACCTTCGCCTCATCTTCCTCACATTTTTCTCCCCCCTGGCTGCCGAACTGGGCAACGTTCGGCAGCCAGGGGAGGGGGTTTGATGGGGGATCAAAATGGCGAGCCTCCGAGCTCGACCAGTACGAACCAGGCAAAACACTTCGGTCAGGCAAGAAAAATGTGAAAAAAGATGTCGAACGCAAGCCTAAAACGCGACGTGAACACCACGCTAGGTTGTAACTGCGGAGATTCACTCTACAACGGTAGTGAGCTAGACAACAGGGGTTGGCACGAACTACTAGAGGTGATCGTAGCTTTGCTTGGTTCCTTAGTGTTTGCACATTCACGGGAGAAATTGGCAAGAGTTTCTACTAGCAAAGTTGGAATTCCAGAATCAGTCCAACAAGAGATGGCAACAATGACTACATCAGGCACCTAGCAACCCTGCTGCTAGCCTGGTCGACCGCCTGCCAGCGTTGCGTAGAGGAGCCGTGCCAGCACTGCAGAAAGGCGACCTGCCAACGGAGCAGGTCGACGGCGTGCCAACGCTGCAGCAGAGCGGCTGTCCAGCGTTGCCCCGTAGAACGCAGCAGTGTGCACGCTCGCAGGTGTGCGCAGACGATTGGCCCGACTTGCCTCGTTGGGCATTCGTCGGCTGTTGTCTGCGCCTGACGAGCCATATCGACTCCAGGATACCAGCCCGCAGTCGCCTGCGCCATCGCAACCTCGACGACGTTTGCGTGCCTCCGCGGAACTCGTCGAGCAGGTTACCTAGTCGACCCGGTCGACCACCAGGTGCTTCCGGTCGACCACCAGGTCCCTCTGGTCGACCACAACTCCCATCGAGCTACCCCCTGGTCGACGGACCCCTTCCGTCGACCAGAGCCATCAGCGGTTGTCGCCGAGCTCCCCTCGTCGACCGCTGCTCACTTGTCAGGTCGACGGACTGCTCCGTCGACCTCCCGGTCGAACTGCAGGTCCTGGTCGACGTCCCACCCGTCGCCAAGACCAGACAGTTGCAGCTGTCGAGCTCCCTAGTCGACAGCAACACCACAGTGGTCCCCTGCATCTCGACGAAGCCTGTCGAGCAGCTCTCCCACTGTGAACGGTCGGTTGCTACTCCCGTACATCCGACCAAGTCGTCGGCGTTGCCCAAGCGAGGGCGGGGCCAACACTCCATTCCTGTTAACACTCCTCTGCCGCGCTCACGCTTGGGCCTCCAGCCTTCACGGCAGTACTCCACGGAGAAAACTCATCCTCGGCGTGCACCCCACACACAGCACGCCGTCACTGCACCAGCCGTGCAGAAGGGCACGGCACCTACTGCTGCACCTCATCGTCGCCGTCGCCGACGTCGGCCAGACGAACTTGGCTGATGGCGACCGAGCACCGGTTGAAAGCCGGAAAATGCAGCGCCTTCGTCAGGAAGTCCGCCGGCTGCTCGGTGGTCGGGATGTACTTCAGCACAAATTTCCCGCGCCTCACCATGTGTTGCAGCCACGCGTAGCGTCGCTCCATGTGCTTGAGGTTGCCCGTCAGCCCCAAGCCCTCAGCGACCGTGATTGCCGGCTTGTTGTCGACGCGGAGGATGGTCGGCTTCCCAGTGTCGAGGAGCTTGAATTCTGCAAGGAGGAAGCGGAGTCGACGCCCCTCCTTGCCAGCATCCGTGGCCGCCACGTACTCCGACTCGGTCGATGACAATGTCGCGCACTTGATGCGTGAACTCGACCAGGAGACTGCGGCCCCACCGTAGACGAACACGTAGCCTCCCGTGCTCGTCCGGTTCTGCTTGTCGCCCGCGTCATCGGCATCGACGTAGCCGATCAGCTCCAATGATTCTGGTCCACCGCTGAACTCCAAGGCGGTATCGCGGGTGTCAGCGAGGTAGGCGAGGCAGCGGTCGACCTCGCGCCAATGCTGGTCGCTCCTCACCGTGAGGCCACTTCCCAGCTTGCTGCAGGCAAATGCAATGTCCGGCCTTGTCGTCGTCGCCGCGAACTGCAGCGAGCCGACCTTCTGCCGGTACTCCTCCTCTTCGCGCTCCTGAGCCTCCTCGTCATCCAACGTCAGCTGAGCGTAGGCGTCGACCGAGACCGGTGTCTTCGGGACTCGACCGCCCTGCTCTTCATCGATGAAGCGCTTGTGTAGCTTGTTGGCGTAGCCCTGCTGGTGCAGCACAACTTCCTGGCCGGCCTGTCTCGCACGATCTCCAGCCCAAGGTACTTCACCACCGGCGAGATCTCACGTAGCTCGATGGCGGTCTCCAGCAGCTCCTTCAGCTCCTTCAGCATCGCGGTGCTGCTGCCAGTGGCAAGCATGTCGTCGACGTAGACCAGCACACAGCAGGTCACTCCGTCATCGCTGGCCTTGAAGTAGAGCGCCTCGTCGACCTGGCTCTTCTTCCAGCCAGCGCCCAGCAGCACACCGTCGAGAGCCCTGTACCACAGCAGCGGTGACTGCTTCATCCCGTAGAGGCTCTTCAGCAGCTTACACACCCGGCCGGTCCCGTCGTTGAAGTAGTCCGGCTGGTACATGTAGAGTACCCTGTCGAGCTTGCTCTGCAGGAAAGCGTTCTTCATGTCGAGCTGCATCAGGTTGAGATCAAGGACGGCGACGATGGTGAGGAAGATCCTCAGTGTGACGTAGCTGCTCACCGGTGAGTACGTCTCGTCGTAGTCGGCGCCGTACACCTGCGTGAAGCCTTTCACGACTAGCCTCGCCTTCTCGCGCTCGACGATGTCGTCGATACGGTACTTGGTCGTCAGCACCCATCGGTTCTTCATGATGTTCACCCCGCGTGGGCGTTCGACTTGCTCCCAAGTCTCCATAGCGATGAGGCTACGGATTTCTTCTTCCATGGCGGCCTTCACCGCCTCGCCCTTCCAGCTCGACAGCGCCTCCTTCACCGTCATCGTGGCGATGTCCGAGCGGTGTTCGGGGTCGGCATGCACGTCAGGGTCGAGCTCCGGCAGGTCTTCATCCTCCTCGGCATCGTCGTACAGCAGGTCGTCGTCGACCTCGTCGTACACCGTGGTGAAGGCAGCTGGCGGTAGGCAGGCATGGAAGCTCAACCGCTCCGGCGGCCGTCGGGCTCGACGTGTGCATCGCAGCTCGGGCTTCGTGATCGGCACTTCCATTACATCGCTGTCGGTGGACTCCTCACCCGCCGACTGCTCCCCTTTCTTGTCGACGAGAACGTCATCGACCAGCTGCTTCGACCCTTCGACCGGCTGTTCGTCTGCTGC